ATCCGACAACAGACACACATTGTTGGTAACTGCCCCAGCCTTAGGACCACACAGACAATATCGACAAGCAGAAAACAAAACAGGAAAAAACACCCCTGAAAAAGTCAGGAGAGATACTGATGACAGGGTTACAGCACTCACCACACACACTGGAAAAAGTCAGGATTTCTGAGTTTATGCTTTTGACACTAAAAAGTTTTGAAACAGTTTTTCTTGTTTTTTTAAAAACAGTCAGCGGACACAGCCATTTTGTTCAGAAGGATCTGCTGTTGCGTAAGTTTCCTTCCATTTGTGTGGAAAAAACAATTAAAAACATTATATTGTTTAACCCCCCCCGACACTCCTTTTCCTCGCCATGATGACAAGAGGGGTTAGCAAAGTTGGCCTTGCCAGGCGCGATGCCCCCCGACGCCCTGTGCCTGACCCACCCACCCCGCCAGCTTCGCTGGGGCAGTGTTAGTTATCCATAGCCTTCTGCGTCCTCTCCAGTTCCCTCTTTCAGTGCAGGCGTTGAGCTGAGTAGAGGCTTTCTTTAAATATCAGATGCCTTGATTGTACTATTTCCCTTTTGCATTTCAGTGGAGTCATTTGAGGAGTATGTGCATTAGTTATGTAGTGAAATTTCTGCTTTAAAATGGTATCAGTGTGTGACTCTCTACATCCTCTGTAAAGACCCTTCAGTGGCGACGATTGGCAATTAGGAAAGGAATGGGGACTCAACCCTGTCAACTTCTATCAGATGTAGAAATTCCCCAACAAATTGAGCACTAGCAGCAGAATGGGTGGGAACTACAGGGCAAATGAAAAGAGGTGCCCCTTTGGTTCAAAAAACCAGGGTTATGTCTAAAAGATTTATGACATTAATTCTCCCTTGTGCAAAATACCGAGAACCCCAAAGTACCAGAAAATTTGCAAGAGAAGGGATATTCCAGCCGTGCAACCAGAAACGGCACACACAGTTTTGTGTATCACATCAGACCTTCACCTTCTGTCCCCTGGACTTGGCAAAAATCAGATACTCCAAAGAGTGTTTGGCATTTTCTAGAGAGAAAGCTGGTTAAAGGCAGTCAAAATGAGAGCAAATACTAGAAGCTTAGAGCTTCCTTTGGTAGCACGCCAGACAATTCTTCTTCCAATCACAGTGTCCATGTCCTCACCCTGCAATTCTAGTGTTGTAATGTCCTTTTAGTGTTTTACATGAGGTTGGATTCAGAGGAAAATATGTACTTGGACTCAGGGATGTCATGAAGAAGCACGGTTGGGGTGTTAGCTTTTACACTGTACATGGGCTTCAGGCTTAAGTTATTTTTTAGCCCAAACCCAGCTAAAATAACCTATTTAATTTTCTACAGACAGCTCCTTAAGTCCTTATATCTCTCAGTTTCTCTACAAATGACAGCTTGAAAGAAAAAAAAACACATTAAAGCAATTAAAACTTTCACAGCTCCAGCAGCAAATGGAACTTCATTCAACAGAAGAAAAAGCAAGTTTCCCCAGGCTCCCTAGGAAGGGCCCCTGATTTCCTAGAGCTGCTGTATTGCAGGCCTGCTGTGCTAGGAAACTAACTGTTTCTGCCTGGCTGCTAACACTTGGGTATCAGACTTTAAGAAAGTGGTGGGTTAGGCAACTGGATGAGCATTGCAGCATGTGCACACATATGGTCCTTCTGCCATGTGCCTGATACGCAATTCTGTAACGGGTTATGGTAACAAAATCCCTTCACTGCCCTAAGGCCAATGGTGTGGAACTCTGTATAAAAAAGCTTTCATTGGCCACGTTCAGCATTAAACCACGGCCAGCAGTAACTCCCAAATCACCTAGTTCCTTAAGCTATTCACCATCACAAGATCTCTGTTGACATAGGATCAGAGAGATTATCTGAAATAGTTCAATGTAGATCAAGTCGGATCAAGTCTGTTCCTAAATGAGATAGGCTCTCTCCCTGAAAGCACTTTATTGAGGTCTAAGATCAATGTTTAAGATGGGAAGCCTGGAAGACCTAGAAGATAGCATCGGTTAACTAGAAAAATTGCAAAGGCCCAACAATGCAGATGGGAAGAACAGCAGGTGTGTGTCTGGGAGATAAAAGACCACATGGCCAGCATGAGAACTAGCCAGGCTTGACAAATCCTCTCAGGGAAGAGGCCGGGAGATGTGTAAACAGTGAGATTCACCTAGCTGCTGACGCATGGATCCTGCACACACTGCCATGACAGCACCGTGCCTTTTGCCGGAGCACTTTCAACTCTAGAAATGCAGCCACAAGCTGAGTTTAAGATGCAGAAGAACCAGCACTTTCCTATGATGTGTGAGCAATGCAGTAAACCAAGGGAATTGAAATGACAGCCCAAAGTAACCACCCCTTGTTCACATCCCCTCCCCCTGCTTACACGAGAGATGCTATCAAGGAACATCTCAGTAAGAGGTTTACAAGCAGGAGTCATTTGAACTATCGATAAGGGAAATTCCACAGCTTCTCACAGAGGAGGGATTGTTTTACAGCAGGGAACCATGGCAGCTGGAGATTTGACCATATAAGTTAATGAGATAGTCAGGAGTGGTGGCGATGATATTAGGCTGACAGCTCTGATGCTTTTACAGGCGACATTAAATTCCTTAAGTGAGTAATTAGGGGTGATTAAGAAAAAGCAAGAAGAAAGATTTCAAAACAACAGCTCCTATCAAAACATGCTGACTCAAATAATGGGACCAAAGGGGTGGTTCTGGGATGAGACATGGCTCAGTGGTATGTACAGTCACTGTCTGCACGCCTTCCGGTGTTTCCCCCTTGCACACATTCAAGTTCTCATTACTCTCCTCATCCATGACAACAAAAGCTTCAGACAGGGGCTGCTACTACAGCAAGAACTAAAGCTACATCTGCAAAGCACCGGCCATGCTCAAAACATGGAAAAGGTGTGAATCACCTCTTCTTTGGAGACTTACATACTTCTTCTTAGTGGACATCATGGTTACAGATCCAGTTCCTTCTGCTGAATCATTACAGTAGAATGAATTGGGATGTGATTTATCTTAAAGTAGTCAATAGAGTCTACAGGTATATAAGGTTTCAGGTTTGCACATTTTTCAGTGCTTGTTTGAAAAAAAAGTCAGAGTACATCTTCCCTTACTCAACTTCTGCTGATGTCATTTCTATTAGAAGAAATTGGTCACTTCTGAAGACAAAACTAGGGTTTGAAAGACCTACAGGAGAGCTGTGCTACGGATTTGAAAGATGTAAGAAATGCAGCTTTCCTGAGAGGGCTTGAACATTTTCATTACCATAACAGTTTAGTGATTAAGGTCAAAATGTAGTAAGTCATATTGAATTAAACTGCAGGCTCTGAATGGGAGGTTTACTGAGAGGATACATAATCAGCTAGTGACTAGAAACCCAAGATTTATTCCACTGCTGTGTTGATACTTGGTCTCCTTTTGCCCTCCTCTCATTCTCTTAAGTAATATGAGAAAGCTAAAGGGGAACTACTCCTTTAAGGAGCACATGGGGATGTGTTAAAGGGTTCTGTCCTGCAGATGCCCCCAGACACACATAACCACTGGTAGCCAAGAAAAAAGCGTGTCTCCCCATTAATGCATAGTCCAAGAATGAACACTCAAATCCTACTCATTAAATAGGATCCTGACTTGCCACCACAATGACAAACTGACCTGCTATTTCAGGTCATATTACCTATCAGCAGGGGCTTTAACGAGTGTCAAAGATGGATGGGAACAAGAGTAAGGCCTCTCATATACATAATAAGAATTGCACTGGTTTAACTAAAGCTGTGATTTTATACCCATCTACTCAGCTGGGTGCCAACTCCAGCAGAGATGCTCCTCTTCATAAGAATGGGTTATTGCTCTGAACTCAAACTCATTCCTTGTCAACCTAAGCTAAACCAAAATAAATTAAATTATAATTATTGTAAGAACTATGTTACCGATGTAACTAACTTAGCTTTAACATTATACTTTTAAGCTAAATGATGCAATTTTCTCATTTACAAAATGCCTAAGACTATTCTTGATGGAAGCTAGTGTTCACAAAGCTATGGCCTGAAAAATTGGCAATGGACAAATTATACAAGTTAAAGCTGGGAGCTGACTTGTTGACCATACCTGCCCAAAGGGAGAGAGCTCGCTATAAAATAAGAACTTAGGAGACACAGACCTATGATGAGAAACCTCAGCTAGAAACCCCAAGAAATCAACGGATGAAAACATCTACCTGAAAAAACGCCCCACCCAGCACTTCAGAGTCAGATCAGCAAACAGTAAAAATCAAAGTTAAGTAAACAGAAAGTACCAGTATGCCTACCGTGTTTTCCAGCTGCTAGATGAAGTGACTAACAGGAACAAATAGTGAAACTTTCCTTTCCTCTCTCTCTTGTTTAAGAATATAGAAACACTGAGACAGGCAGCGAGATGTGAGCTAGCTAGCTGATGCTGGCCAGTCTCAAGCCATAATCAGAGCACACTCAGGTTTAACTTTAGCACTATAAAATTCAGGCTTTCAGCTTTTATGGAAAAAAAAAAAAAAGAAAAAGAAAGAAAGAAGCAGAGAAAGAAAGAGAGAGAGAGAAGAAGCAATAAATGAATGAAAGGCAAAGGCTACCCTTCTGCAACCTCATGGAGAACTAGAGCTGCTTGTGTTCAGTGGATCCTCTCTTCTTTGCTCAGTAGACTTGGAAGAGCTCTGCTCAGCTGTATCCAAAAGTCACCATCAACAAAGTCAATAGGGAATTGGATTCTAAAGTAGAAAGGCAGTGAGAAGATGAATGCAAACATGACTGATTAATCATAGACTGGAAGAACCTAGAAAGCATGTAGTTTTTAGAGAGTTGGTTGGTTTTTTTTCTTTTGTTTTCTTTGTAAAAGGTGCACCAGAAGTTTCTATTCCATTTTCTGTCTTTCACATTCCTCTCCACTCTCATGGCTCCTTGGACTGACTGGGCTTGGCCACTGGTGTGCTGCTCCAGTGGGGCTAGTGGCCGAGGTCATGATGACTCCTCAAGTGCATTGACGACTTGCTCCAGGATGTCAGGGCAGTGATCTGCTATCTGCTGTAAGATGGCGTTGGCAAACTCCTGCAGCTCTGCGCTTTCCTTCTCACCCTTTTCTAATTCGTCATGAAGCTGCAAAACACACAGAGGCATGGTCATTCTCTACCATTAAACGTGTTCACTGTATAATGAGACCTGCGAAGCAGGCTCAGCTCTAAGCTAGGACAGACATTCTTTAGAAAGGGAGCTAGCAGAGATGTAACATGCTGGACACTTGAGGATCAGCATCTTTCCTTGGTGACTCCCGCACCAGAAACTGGATACTCTCCCCACTCTTTATTTCACTTTTTCATTCTACAGGACCAGGTTTGTGATCTCCCAGTTAAGGCAAATAAAATTATGAATAAACTGTTCTATAACAATATTAGAAAAACTTCCTCTGCAGAATGTTTTTCTGAAAGCAATTCCAAAAGCAATACAGCATTTTCCTAGTATATTACTTTAGATAGCTTGACTTTCATTCATGAAGAACATGATGTTTTATATGTCATTACTTCAGAATTATTTCCTATATGAAATCAATAGAAATGTTAAATAATTATACATAATACACTCAAGAGTTAAGCAGAATTCTGATTTTTCTGTGGAATTAATAATTTTCAGAGACTGTGTTTCCTAACTCAGTAAGAAGATGACTGTACACAACTGTGGTGGAACAGACACGATTTTTGTTTACTAACTCTGTATTTCCTGTTGGATCACTCATTGTTCCGATTACTGTAATTGGCTTGGAACAGGACACGGAACTTCAAAACTATCTTATGCACTCTGTCTATAGCCTACAATCTGTTTTTCCAACATGTGGTGTTACAAACCACACCACACAACATATTGGAATATATGTGAACATAGTTTTTAGCTCTGAGCCTAATGCTATTGCCAGAATTAGGGGCCCACAGAGTCTTACTGAAGAGCAGGAAACATCTGCCTTCAGTAACCTGTTTATCTGCCCAGCAACTGATAAAGTCCATGCTAGCTTGTGAATTGTGCAGAATCCCAAGTAAGACTGTAATTTGTACAAGCATTTCAGGGATTACTGAACTCACAGTGGTCTAAGGATCTAGCACAACAGGGAGAAGCAGTATCTCTCGGTAGACTGGGTAAGACACATAGGTAGACTGGATAAACTTTCAAGCAGATAGCTCTTTCAAACACTACATATCCCAAAAAACTTTTCTGTTTTTTTTTTTTTCAGTGGTATGACTTTCTTCTAATAAAGCATAATCCCTATGATTACGAGTGTATTTGTAACATGGTACATACACTTAGATGGATTCTGAAGTTTACTGCAAGCTTCTGCAACCAAAGGTCTTTGTTAGTGTGAGCAGCTGTAGCAACTATCTTACCTATACTCGAACCTCCTTTTAATTTTTTTTCCTAATATTATCTGTCAGTCCTGTAACATTTCTTATTCCTAACTGATTAATATTTTTATTGGAACTCTACTATGCTAATATATGACATGGAAAGAATGTTAAAATTGGATCTGCTTTTATCCCTGAAGGGATAACTGGAAATCGGTATACACATTTCTTGATCTATATTTTGCACTTCTGTAATACTGCTCATTGTGTGTTTTAAAGAGAGAACTGTCAGGCAGCAGGACAAGAGGGATCATTTTACCATTGTAAGAGCACAAGGCAGTGGGAAAGGTTGTATTTCTACAACCAAATTTCTAATCAGATACAACAGCATGTCTCTGTTTAGTGATGGTATCAAGCAAAGCACAGGAGTTTGTTACTGGAAGAAATACTGCATAAACCCAAACAGCCTAAGAATGACTACAGAATAAATATAAACTCTTTGTAAGGAAGTTATGGTATAGGCTTCTGTAGACAAAAGTGAGAGAAAGGAAATTAAAAGGGTAAGCTTGCTACACTATTCCCTTTACTAGGCAGTGTAGCATATAGTAAATTATTTGGGCTTTGTGTGTGAATGTTAGTTTAATGTGTTCTTATGTGCTTTGTTCCTACTGGCTGCCATACTCACATAACAGCTATACGAATTCGAGAGGGGCTCATGCCAAGAATCACAATGCAAAAGCAACCTGATCCTTCTCAATGGAGTGACATGAGCTGGGGAAGTGGGGAAAACGAGAGGGAGGGGAGCACTCTGGGCTCTGTAAGGGCTCTCAGGGGAGAAAAGGGAATTCAGCAGTAACCCATAATGGCTCAGAAACGGCACGCTGTGGATAGATGATTAGCCTGGTTCCAACAGGCTGGCAGTTATTAGTCGGAATCTTGCAATGGATGGATAAGCCTAGGAGAGGTCCAGTGAGCAAGCAGGATTGAAAGAGCCAGTACAGCCAGCTAGGAGCAGTGCTGAATGTTAAAAGCCAGGAGAATGGGTTTCAGGAACTACCCCTGAGTCTCAAGTTCTTCAGCCTAGTAAAACGCCAATAATTCAGGCAGCCCCAGCTACAGCAGCCTGCAAAACACCTATGTGCTAGGAAATTTACGGGACTGGCTTGAACGCTGAACTCTGAGACAGGGCTGCCTTGGCTTCTTCGGCCAGCGCAAAGCTTTCACGGTGCCATCCACCAGAAGGGAAGTCAGGAGAGACAGCAAGTAATGGGAGAAGGCGGCAGCGATGTAATTCTTTACTTCATTCGGTCCGCAGGAGGAAAACCAGGAGAGGGCAGTGTTAGCAGGGAAAGCAGGGACCTGCTCCCTGTGGTCCTGCACCACCACCTGCCCAGGCAGCATCTTTCCTCCCAGCCTTTCAGCCAAATCCTCCAGGTGAAACTCCAGGAAAGGACAAAACAATTAAATAATCAAATATAAAAGCAACCCAAAGAGATTAACCTTCAAAACTGAATGGAGGTTGGCGGACAAGGGAGAATCCTGCTGGATGTTGTCTTCAGTGGGGCAGTACTGCAAACTCAGTGATGTTTCAGTTTCCTGCTCTACTAGTCAGCATTTATGTATTTATAAGATTCCTTATAAAATCAAGGTAAGCCCAACAAAATAAGCCCATGCTGAAGCTAAAATAAATCAAATGCAATCAAACAAAAGTAACCGACTCAACCAGATGAAGAAAATATTTCTAAGAAATAAGTTTTCAACCATCAAGAACTCCAAAAGGAGATGGCTCTGAATGCTGAAGGCCAGCAATAATACTTTGCAAATTAGCGCAGCCAGAAAGTCTACACAGCTGGCTGGCAGATGTCTGTGATGAAATGTCTTTGAAAAAAGTAGCAATGATAGCTTTGCGTTGAGTTTGCTCACTTCAGAACATCGAGGTTTAATAATGTGATTTCTACTTAAACAAAGACATCTTAACTGACTATGTGGCTGGTTGCAGCATTTCTGTATCATGTATGTCATCTCCATTTACGTCATTCCTTTCAGAAACAGCTGTGAGCAGCATACGTCACTCCTCATTCAGACAGACTCCTTAATGGAGAACATTTAGTACTCCATGGTATAACTTGATACACCTAGATATTTGGGAGCCCCAATTTTAGGGAAGTTTCTCTAAAAGTACTACTATCAATTCTGCTCTGGTTTCCTGGATTTTATTCTTGTGAGTGCAAGCAGAAATGATGTTATCTTCCCCAGGCCGTTTTTCTATGAAAATAAAGGAGTGTTAACAGCTCTTTTTTTGTTGGCATTTTTAGCTGAGGTGATGAGATTCATACACTTGTGTCATTGAAATGACCAAAAAAGAGAAGGCAAGGCCAGGTATGTTTGCCTAGTGGACGACAAGTAAAAATAGACAGCTCGGAAAGGAGAGCAAGGACCTTGTAAGTGCTTCACAGTATTTTTACTTTATCTTTGGACAGAAGAACAGAAAGGACCTTCAGAATCTCAGGGGAATAGAAGCTTGCAGATAATCTGCAATAGATTCAGACACTTTTCACCACTGCTGCCTTCCTTTCTGGGTTTAGAGCAAGTCATGATAGAAACACTTTTCCATTTATAGTTAAATTCCACCAGTGAAAAAAATCCCCAGCAATTCACCATGAATTTAGCTTTCATTGTGCTTCTCTGGTCTAAGATATTCCAGAACTTATTTAAAGATAAATTGACATTCAAAGGGAAGATAACTTCATAGTTAGGAAATAAGATGCTATGGTTTTACATGAGACTAAGTGAAGTGTGGCGTTGCCTTGCAGAACCTTTGCAGCTTTTGCTTATCCCATAAGGTAAGCAAGGCAACATTAAGCTAAGATCCTGTAAAATTTATTTATACAGAGGAGTCTTACTCGCCACAGTGACATTTTCCTCTGGTTAACAATTCCACAAAAACGCTATTGAAAAAAGGCAAACAAAAATCAAGTAGTACCTCATCTCAGCCTATGGACAGTGAAACTGATTACAGAATAGGAGGTGTTTGTAAAGGAGCAAAAAAGAAGTTAATGCAGGTCTTCTATATGGCTACAATACTGAGATCTGGAATTATGTTTCTCAAAGTTTAGATGTTTCTGGATCAGGCTGAAAACACATATAGAGGTTAAACTAAGAGAAATAAGCATCAAAAAGAAATGGAACAGATCTAACCTTAACCTTTGTTTTGTTTCAAAATAAGAAACTACACTAAATTGCTGTATCTCAGGCAAACGGTCAAGAGCTTTTGCATCTTCCCAGACCAACCAGTGTAAATGTGTATGTTTGAAGTAATGAGAGCTAATTACATGCAAAACTTTATTTCTTAACTACAGACCTATAAAATGGCCAAAAGAAAGGGTTCAGAATATGGAAATTCCAGTCTGCCAAACTTAAAAAACCAAACAAACCAAGCCAAATAACAAAAAAGAAAAAGAGGTAATTTTTGTGTAGACCCTTCAATATTTGTGCTGTATCTGGATTTTTTTTTTTGTGTTAGTTTTTTAAAAATATTTAAAACACATTTAAAAATTGAAGTAAGATTTCAAATTCAACATTCTGTCTTGTCTTCTAAAATCACGTAAACTTTAAAAATATGTTTTAAATACGTTTAAATACATTTGAATAGATTTTACAATCAATTTTGTCACAAAACCCTAAAGGAATTCGTTGAGGGCTCTTGCACTATGTATTTGAAATAACTTTGCACATGAGATTTATCCTGCATTCCTGAGCATCTCTAAG